CCACCCCCTTTCCAATTCCCACCGCCAGCGGCACCAACAACCCCCGGGAACCCTTTACCACCACCCCTTCTTCATTCCCTTCCTTCAAACCCCCCCGCCAACCACAAACCAATCCATATTCGTTCCGAAACTTCACAATCTTCCGAAGCAAAATACGAACTCTTCCTCTTCCCAATTTGCCATCGCCTTTCCCCGCATTCGGATGGCCCGGGCGTAAACGCCAACCCCATAGCCGACCGCAGCTCATTATGCCTTTGCAACTCCTCCTCCACATGCTTCACGTACCTGCGCAGCGTGTTCAGTTGCTCCGCCTCCGTGAGCGTCGAGGCCATCATGCTTTGCTGCGGCGGCGTCCAGTCTGCGATATGGATGCGGTCTGCCGGGAGGCGGGCGCGGACGCTACCGTGCGCTCCGCTTTGCTGATCCAGTGAGGTGCGCAGTGAGCTTTGGAAACTTGGTCGGGGCGCGCTGGAGGAGGTGGTTGTTGTTGTTGTTGTCGGTGGTGGGGAGGAGGGGTCACTGCTGTTTTGGATGAGAGCTGTGTTGATCACTGCTGCACTCCAGCCGTATTCAATGTTACTGATGCCACCAAATAGTGGTTCCTTGGATAATCGGGCGCTCCAGTAGTTAGCTGACGAGACGAACTCCTTGACGATCTCCGGCGTGCCGACCTGGAACAGATGGACGGCGCCAGTGGGTAAGCTGAGAGCCCACACGTGCGGGCGCGACTTGGAGTAGCCTGGCGACGGCAGCGCGCTGGCAATAGTCTGGCGCAGCAAAAACTTCCACGTCTCTTCTGCATTCTCAGTCCAGTTGCCGCCGCCCACGACAAGGCCGCCACTACCACTACCATTCTGCCTGTTCTTCGACTTCACACGCATCGATTTTGTCGACGCGTTGAACGAAAACAGTCGCATCCAGCCCCGCTGTATGACAGCGAAAGACTCATTCCAATTCCGATCCTTAGACCGCTTATCGACAGAGTCGAGGTGATGCTTATGTTTCAAACTCCCTTCCTTGGCCCATGGTGCCCCCGCGAGCTCCAGCGTCTCGTCGTCCAGCAACGAAGCTGCGCGCGCCGGATCATCCATGCCGGCCATGGCATTGGCATTGGCGGAATCCTCACGGATAATCGCATGGCTCAAGGCATTCGCAAAGCCGATAGACTGCTGGTAGTCTCCTCGAGGATATTCGGGCCCAAAAGAATCGACAGACATTGACAATATCGTCTTGGGCAGTGAATGTTTGCTCCATGTGCTCGACGCAGACGGCGACCAGAGAGAGGACTGCTCATCAAGACTGGTACGGCTAGAACCGATATTGGACGTAGGATACATTCTCGGGCGAGACCTAGGTTTCGACGACCAGCGCACTGTCGATAATCGATTTTCATTAGTCCGACCCCTCTGGCAAACGTCGGACCCGCTCTTGCTCAATGTGCTAGGAGTCCGCCGGAGCATGTTCCCCGTCAACGTCAGAAAGTTGCTCGAATGCTGCTGATGATTGTATTCCTCAGTCTCTGCAGGCGCCCCGCGCAGAGGCAACATCTGTTTCTGAATTGAATTATAGAAATCCTTCAGAACGGATTCAATCTGTACTTCCCACGCCCGCTGAGTGCCGCGGAATGGCGTTGAAACCAGCGGACCTGCATCAGCCGAAGAAACTTCAGCATTTAAGTTTGTCGAAATGGTACACATAGAGTTCGTCCTCGCCGTGGCGTCGACTGGTTTCGACAGATTGCTGCTGGGAACGTTGATATCCAGCGAGCCGTGACCCTTGTGCTGAACAGGAGGAAGCGTAGGCGACTTCCCAGCAAGAGCGCTGGCAGTCCCGCTGGCCCTCACTACCGTTCGCGGCTTGCTAGAAAGATTTCCCAAGTGTGAACGCTCAAAGGCTTTGGCCTAGCGTCAGAAACAACCCGTTGAATAGTGGGCATTGTATTCTTGATGAACTGACTTCTCGTCATTTTCTGCTCGATATCAGCAATGTGGAGATCGGTATTCAAGAGCAGTAGAGAGTAGCATATTGTATGTACAACGTCTGCAGAAAATCCATATTAGCAAAACGAAATACGACACATAAAAATCTTAGTTAATCCAGAGTAGTGGCAAAGTGTCCATATACGTACCCGTCGCCATAAACCCATGCTCCTCATTACACTCACACCACCTAGACGAAAACGCATCCAAAATCCTATCAACCTGCTGTGTCTCTCCCTTTAACGTAAGCCGTCCACACAGCCCCCTCAACGCCATCAAAATATTCACATTCCTCCAATCGAAAAGTTCCATATACGCTTTTCGAACCATGGCACGGCCGGGATTCCCCAACCACGCAGCAGCAGGCTCCTTGTCATGTCGATCTCGATAATCCTCAGCTTCGTCGAATATCCTTTGCGCTTGCGCTCTGTCCACTTCTGATGGTTCCCCGCTAACAGAATTACTGGCAAGAATGGTAGTGTCACCCTCATCCTCGCCATCATTATCATCATCATTAATAATATTATCAATATCCACCTTTCCATCATCCCGTTTGAGTTCATGCTCGTGCTCGGTGTGTATCTCCATCTGCAGTGGTGGGAGCGTTGGCGGCTTACTCCTTCTAACAGTCGCATCATCATCAGGAATACTAGGAGTATTCAACGCAGTATGATAATTGGAGACGGTCGACAATGAGGCGCGCGGGGATATACTGTTTCCCTCCCCTGGTCGATTCACCCTATTGTTGGGAGCTTCCACGGAGGAATCATTCTCAAACCAATCGTTCTCGTCACTCTGCAATTGTCGTCTAGGATGAGCATGGGAATTCTCATTATCACTCAGACACTGCATAGATGCGGAGTTTGTCATAGCTGCAGATATCTCATCAATTGCACTATGTTTACTTTGTAAAGATGGTGTGTGTTGTTGTTGTGGTTGTTGATGTGAGACAGCATGTGACGCGCGGGAACCAGAACCAGAACCAGTCGCACTCGAAGTTGCCTTTCCATTTGTTCCAAAAGTTTTCAATCCACCATTCATCGAATCCTGGGAATTTTTCGTCATCATTGATTTCATATGACTCTGGGCATTGGGGCTAGTCATGGGCCGTCCAGATCCAGATCTCTCATTAGAATTAGGGTTTGCTGGACTATTCCCCTCTTTGCCAATGCTGTCCTCCAGGAACGAATCTTCACGATCATGTGAAGGCAGATTGAGATTTAGTCCAGGTTTGGAATTTATCGAGCTTCCATTCCTCGGGTTTTTGGAATGGAGATTGTTGTCACTACTATTGTCCTTATTTGTGTCCAGATAACTAGGGTTCGTCACCTGGGTCAACGATCGCTCTTTGGAACTATCAATTTTATTCATATTAGTTGTGGCAGCGGTGGTGGCAGAGCGCATAGTATCAGCAGCAGACAACAGCATCTCGCTGCCCGAAACCTCATTATCCGCATCATCAAGATTCGTATCGTCATCCACCAGATATGGCGCATTCAAGTACGGCTTCATCACTCTCCTAAGACTGCTAACGGGACTTGGTTCGGGCCCACCCAGGCCGACAGCTTGACAGTGGTCGAGTTTCAAAGGATCTGGCTTCAAAAAGTTAGTATCAACAGCAGCAGTACGTATATTAGACTGCGGCAGTATCAATGGCGGCGGAACGTGATCTGTGATGGACTTCTTGCGACGGCGGAAGAAAGATGAAGGCTTCTTGGTTATTACGGGTGTATTTTCGCGGCTCGATGTGTTATTGTTTCCTGTTGATATGGCGTGCTCCTTTTGCAGTAGTTGTTTCTGTCCCTTGGACAAATTGGGAGTAATAGCACTTTGATACTGCTCCTGTGGCCGCCGGGGGCTACCATTCTCCTGCTGGCTGCATGGAGATTGAGATTCGGACTGCGTTTGGGTTTGCGATTTTGAGGAACCACCCCCAAAAACACGACGGAAAAATCCAGGACGCTCCTTTGGGGCAGGTGAAGGGGTATTGACCACTGGCTGCGGAGCGAGGTAGGAGGATTTGTGGAATGCAACCGTCGGACTGGGAGCGGGTTGCAGGTTGTTGTAGGATGGTATAGGATGGAAATCCGGTATAGGACCACGATATGGTCTTGAACTATACCCGTGACCCCGGATAGTCGCGGTCCCAAGGGTATCCGAGCGTCCCTTTTTTATGTGCATGCTCCTCGCTGATTTGCTGCTGTTCTTGCGGGCCAAGGCAGGCGTGCGCATGCTGGTTGGAAAGGTTTGGGTATAGGGGAATTCGCGGAGAGGAGGAGAATTGTTGCGTCGGGGGCCTGCAGGAACGGTAGGGGTAGGGGCTGCATCGATGTCATCGTATGGAAAACCATTATCATGTACAAAGTCATCGAAGCCACCTAGACTATCAACCAGTGGCAGAGAGGGTGGTAAACGGGAGCCGCAGTCAAAACTGGCAGACCTGCGCTCCCGGAAGTGTTGACCCGGACGGCTGGTGGCCATCATCTGGTTAAAGTCAAGGCTGGAAGAGCCACTGCTCCTACTACTTTCCTTTTGTTCTGAGCCTGGATGTTCGGTTGGTAGGCGGTCGATCTGCATAGGTTACAGCGCGCTGAGCATCATACACTTTGACACGATCTCCGCCACCACGAACACTGTCAATCCTCCGAAGGCCAGGGTGGTAATTAGAGCTGCTATTGCTGC